TAGGAACATTTAAAGCACTCCATACAACCTTAGCTGCTCTGAATTTTGGAAAAGTTCCCCTCAGCCATTGATATCCACCTTTTGCTGTGTATGGTTTACCACCTTGGGCAGCCCAAACACGATTTCTGATTCCTCCCTAAAGTTCCTCTTTTACAGCCATCAATTTTCTCCAATGCCATCCACAGTCCTTAGGAGGATTATATTCCCAAAGTTGCTTGCCTTTTAGATAGTACATATGCACCCATCAAATCCATAAGCTCTTCTTTCTATTTGCTACATCCCACAACTGTTTTCCCAATAATGCCTGGTTCCAAATTTCTGGACTTTTGATATGCAAACCACCTTTCCCCTTTGTTTTACATATGTCATCCCATGATACCAGAGACCATGATTTCCTAGATTCTTTTTTCCCCCACAGAAATGATCTACAAAGCCTTTCTAACTCCTACAGTTGGTATATCAGCCTAACTTAATACAATTAGGTCATCAGCAAAGCATAGACAAACTATTTCCAACTTCTCACAATGCTGATGGTACTTAAACCCACCTTTCTGAGCTTCTACTTTAAAGAGCCTGGTTAGGTATTCCATTGCAAGGACAAATAATAATGGTAAATGGGGTCACCCTGCTGTAAACCCCTCTTTCCTTTGAAATACCCAGTGCTTGTCCTATTCATATTAATCAAAAAGCTGGCAGTTTTAACACAAACCATGATCCAATTTCTGAACATAGATAACATCTCCTCTATGAAATCCCAATTAAGGGAATCATAGGCCTTTTTCAGACCTATTTTCATCAGGCAATAAGGTTGCACATTATTCCTCCGGTATAACCTTATAAGTTCTTGTGTCAATAATACATTGTCTAGTATTGACCTTCCCTTAATAAAGGCCCCCTAGTTTAAACTTACTAAGTCAGGCAGTAAAAGGCTTAATCTCTTACTTATCAGCTTAGTAATGGTTTTATAAACCGTATTACAGCACGCAATGGGACGATATTCAGTTGCGTCTCTAGGGTTTCCATTTTTCGGAATCAAGGAGATTAATGTAGCATTAAATTGCTTCAGTAATTTCCCTGATTGAAAAAAATTCTAAATTGGCTTTACATACATCATCACTAACTACTTCCATACAGCCCTATAAAAACCACTATTATACCCATCTGGCCCTGCACTTGTGTATATTTATACTGAACATAGCATCCCAAATTTCAGCCTTTGTGAAATCTTTAATCAGGAGAATATGCTGGTAATACAGACAATTTGATCCCTGGATTAAAGATCTCACTTTCAACTAGAATACGGTCAGTTTCACTACCCAGCAAACTCTGAAAATAGTTAATAAAGTGAAGCTTTACTTGGTCCCAGTCTTTGATTATTTGTCCTTGCTGATCAGTATATGACATAATTTTATTATGCACCCTCCTCTGTCAGATGCAAGCATGAAAGTACCTCGAGTTCAAGTCCCCTTCTTTGACCCACTGTTCTTTTAGGCGTTGATTCCAGTAACTCATTACCAGCTTGCTCAGTTCAATATACTCTTTAGTCAGTTCCTTTTCCCTTTCTTGCTTTGTGACATTACCAGGATTCTACTGTATTTCTGATTGAATCTCTTCTAATTCTATTTTCTTCGCTTGAGCTTTCAACTCCAGGTCATTGAAATGTTTCTTGTTAAACCTTTTCAAGTGGTCCTTCAAAACCTTCTTCTTCTGCAAAAGTTCATAATGCTTAGTTCCTTTCTTCTCAGTCTTCTATGCTTCTTCAATGGTGGTCCTGAAATCAGGGTGCATAGTCCACATATTATAAAACTGAAATTGCTTCCGATTACTCTTCTGAGATTCTCCCATTTCACAAGTGGATTATGATCTGATATACCATTCTGCATTACCCACGTAACTACTTCCTGATATATCTCAATCCACTTCCCATTAACCATGGCTCGATCTAGTTTAGACATCACCATTTTATCTCCTATTTGTTTATGGTTCCAGGTAAATCGACATCCTTGTGTTTTCATTTCCATTAAATCACATTGCTCTATGGCTAGTTTAAACAGATCAGTATCTGTACTAGTAGCCCTTTGCCCTCTAACCTTCTCCTCTGGCTCCAAAATGCAGTTAAAGTCTCCAACAACCATCCAAGCCATGGTTGTATTTCCTCCTTTAGCTATTAGCCTATTCCATAATGAAACCTTGCCTTGTGCCTGACAATCAGCATAGACCACTGTCAAGTCATACCTTCTATTATAGGCATCTTGAACAGTGCAATGAATGAACTGACCTTCAACCTGAACATTACTCAGCTTGGATTCCCCTCTTTTCCAAATCAGTAAAATTCTTCCTTTCCCTGAACCAGTATGATTGCTGATAAAATCAAATTGGTCCCATTAATTTTTCACTAATTCTGTCACCTTGCACACATCCAGTTTAGTCTCTAAGAATCCAGCCATCTCTACATAATTTACAGAGAGATAGGAGAGATAGTTTCCTATCTCTCTGTCTTTCAGAGGGCTCTTAAGCCCCCTTACATTCTAACTTAAGAAGTTACTCATGATCACTAGTCCTTAAATTAAGGGGTCTAGTTCTATGAATATTGATTCTTCCAGTGCCTTTACTCTTCTCATTGTTCTGTAGTTCCCCACCTCTTATATCTTTCTCTTGCAGAATTTGTTTATCTTTCAGCCATTCCACCTGTTTACTAGTCTCAACTTCTTTCCTACTCTGTTGCTTAACTCCTGATCCTGATTCTTGCTGTTTAGGGCTGTGAGAAACCTCCACTACTTCCTTGTTAAGTGCTTCTTTTTCTTCTACCCTTTTCTGGATTGGTGTCAGTTTATATACTTGCATTGGTGGCTTCCTGCATTGATCAGCCTCATGTCCATACCCTCTACACTGCTTACATTGTACTGGTGGCAACTCATATTTGATTTTCTGTTCTTGTACAATGCCCATTTCATCTTCATACCAAAGTTTTGATGGCATCTTCGTAGCTATTTCTACTTCAAGTAGAATCCTGGCATATCCTGTTCTATTCTATTGCATAGTCATTTCATCCATCTCAAGGAGAGTAACAATTACACTAGCAAGTCTACTAATTGTCTTAGCAATCCAATATCTGAGAGGTAATTTAGGTAACTGAACCCAGATTGGCACTTTTTTCACATCCTCAAGGTTAAATCCCTTCTCCACTGATCAATCCTTGACAATTAAGGTTTATGATCAAAATGAAATACATTCTGGCTAAGGATTTCTTCTTTAGCTGATACAGAGTTAAATCGGACCACATAAACTCCATTTTCCATGAACAGGATTTTATCGACACCATGTTTCCCCCAAATCCTTCTCAGAAAACCATTAATCACATAGAACATGGGGTTAGCTCCTAACACATAGCAAATTAAAGACGAGCGCCAGTAATCAATCACATCCTGGATCTCATTCCTATTAATTTTTGCTATACTTCTATCCGCCTCCTTAACTGGTTCAATAAACTCAAGCTTACGGTTCATTCCATTCATCTTCTTCTTATCAAAAGTATTTAATGGATTAATTACCCTACTTTCTGCAATTGACCCCTGATCATGATTCTTAGATCCCAAACTTTCCCCAATATGAATTATTTTCTGATTGCATAGCATTTCTAACCCTATCTCTTGCTCATCACGATCAATCCAAGACAGTTTAGGGCTATTTACCTTTGCTTGCGGACTTCCTCTACTCACTTCCATTGAATGGTGAACCTCATCCTTTGGTTGCTCTTCCTCCACTACAACTGGCTTCTCTCTCTTCTTTGGCTTCCCCACCATCGTGGATGCATCGGAACGCGCCGGGATCTGAAGTCTCCGATACACACACAATGGACTGTGTTTTCGCTCATAAAACGCGTATTGGATAGAGAGAGAGTTTTTCATTTTTTTGATATTATTAATTTATAGATTATTAATTTATCGATGTTCTACTGTATATAGTTTCCAAAATAACGTCATACTCTTTTTTTTTGCCTACCTAAAATGTTTGTTATATCAAAATGATATAAGAAATGATGGTCGTTTATCGTAATCCATTCCCAAATCAGTCTTTAAAAAAAAAAAATTTCCCTCCGGAAATACAACAAAGAATTTTTTAAAAAATTATGGTTTGAATTATTATTATATTGAGATAGTCATTGGGTGGGAGGGTTGGGTGGTGCAGATTGGAGATTAGGATGGGAGATTATTATTAGTAGAAGGTCGAGGGTTCGATTCTCTTTGAGGCCAATTTTTTTAATTTTTTTTTTTAAAAATATAGAGATAGTCATTCAAATGCAAATATTGGTTTCTTTCTATATCCCGATTGATTGTGTAAGAATTAAAAAAGGGAAAGTACTTGGACAGTGATTGGAAAGAGTTTATTTTCAGCGGAGGCTAAGGATTTTGCTCCAATGTCTTTTGTATATACTTGTGATTATTACCAAAAAAAAAAAAAAACAGAAAATTTAAGGATTTTACTGCCAAGAAGAAGCTATAATAAAACAGATTTCATAAACTGATTCGGATTTGTTAATTGATGAATCCGATCACGGCAAGGCTTCCAATTTCAGCAAGATCCTGCGTAAGACTTCACCAATTTCTTATCTGGTGTCGGATTATATATATACATTAAACTTTCAAATCCAACTCGGTTTTCAAACTTAATTTGTCCTATAAATAGACAACCTGCTTCTCATATTTAGTACCACACGAACACATTAATCAATGACATTTCTCTAGCTCTCTCTTAACACTTCTGATTTCTATATCTTAAACTATTTTCAATTCCTTCGCTCCTTTGGTTAGTTCTTTATTCTTTAGTAGGTCTAGAGAATTAATTAATAGCTAAGAACATCTCTACTAAAAACAGGTTTCCTCTTGGGGCTGTTTTCTTGATCATCCTTTTGTTACTTTTGCAACCGCATGTGAGCTCTGCAAGAAAGCTGTTATTATCATCCGCTGATCCTCCAGCCTCCGCCGATCCCCCAACTAACAATGGCTTGCAGCAGAATAGTTGCAAGTTTGACAAGCTGTTTAATATCGGCGACACATCGTCCGACACGGGAAACCAAATTCGCGAAAACGCATCGTCGTGCTCATCGTTTCCTTATGGAAGAACTCTTGGACTACCTACAGGAAAATGCTCCAATGGACTACTCATGATCGATTACTTTGCCAAAGCCTTTGGTTTAGCCCCCATTAATGCTTATGAAGATTATCGGATGTCTTTTGATCAGGGAGTCAACTCTGCTGTCGCCGGAGCTACTGCTTTGCCTGTTGAGACCTTGCGAGCTAAAGGTCTTCCATCTCATGCTGGCAACGCTGGTTACTGGCTCGAGTCCATAAGAGCTTAGCAAATTAGTCTGATCACAAACAGTTCCCTAAGTGTGCAATTAGGATGGTTGTCGTCTCACTTGAACAAAACTTGTAAGACCACAGCAGCGTGCCGACATTATATGGATAATTCGGTATTCTTTGTTGGTAACATCGGAGAAACTGATTACAACTCCGCTAGTTTTGGACTTACGGATTCCAGTTAGAGGATTTTGTGCCAGATGTGGTTCAAAGCATCGTGGGAGGTGTTAGAACTGTCATCGGATTTGGAGCGACTAAAGTTGTTGTTCCTGGGCGTTTCCCTGTTGGTTGTCTTCCCATGTCTCCGTACCACGACAGCCTTCTTTTCAAAGGTAGTCCAACTGTTTTCGATTCTAATCTTTGTTTGAAGGAATACAATCGTTTGGCTGCCCGTCACAATGACATTCTAAAAGTAGCCATTGAGAAACTGAGAAAGGAACATCCAGATGTTGCCATTGTATATGCCGATTACTACAATGCCTACTTGTCAATTCAAACCAATGCCGAAGAACTTGGATTTGCGAGCAAGTTTTCAACTTGTTGTGTAAGCGGAGATAAGTTCAACTTTTCCTTTGACAAACCCTGTGGGAAAGTTGATTCTTGCCCGAATCGGAGGAATATATTAGTTGGGATGGAGTCAGTACCACTCAACAAGCAAACAGACTCATGGTTGACTATCTCCTCAATTCCATCGTTCCCCAATTGAAGTGTAATTAAACTCTTGTAGGGTTCAAGTTTATACTATGTGTTCCCTTGGTGTAGTTATCTTTTTGTTTGTTGATCAATAATCTTTGGGGTTGAAGGTCGGTTCTTTTTTGTTACAAATCCGTTTCATTCTTCTTTATTTTAGTGGGAAAATGGGTCTTTTCATCCCAAAATTTGGGTCCCACCATCCAAAACATCCCAAAATTTAAGAACATGCCATTTACATCCCAAACTTTTTAAAAACATGTTACATTAGGATATTCGTTAAATTTTTAATTCCAGTTAATTAATTAGTGGTGGTATTTTATTCTGTTTCTCCTCCTCCAATTCTTTTAAATCATTTAACACGTTTCACTAACTCCAACCTTATAAGAAAATAGTTAAATCTAATTTCGTTTTCACATCATCCATTCTTCCCTTGCTTAGAAAAAAAAAATCCAAGATTCACCTTCTAGATTGATAACAATCATGGGAGGTATTGTGTGTGTTCTAATTAGAAAGTAAGTCCTATTTCATTTATTTTTTTTAAATATGTAGTATCATTATAAAAATTGGTGTTGTAATTGATGCAGGGTATGCAACTTTTTTGCTTGGCATGGACCAAATTTACCAAACGCAAGTATGAAACTTTTTGACTAAAAAAAAATAGGGGAAAAGAAACTGAATGAAATATCGTCGCTAATAACTTCAAAAAATTAACAAATGTCCTAATATTACATATTTTTGAAAAGTTTGGGATGAAAATGGCATGCTTTTAAACTTTGGGATGTTTTAGATGGTGTGCCTCAAACCTTGGGATGAAAATTTTACACAGAAAGTTCAAAAAAGTGGAGGATGTAAAACATAACTTTATTTACTAAAATAAGGGAGAATGAGCATTTTCATCCCAAGGTTTGAGGCACACCATTTCCAAAATTTACATCCTCCACTTATTTTAAACTTTATTGTCTTGATCCTTACATTCTAATTTCTGAATATAAGAATACTACTACTGATCAACCGTGTTATATATCGTTCGGAAAATTCTCTTGTGAGAAACATGAGAAACACGGGCGGGCAATGGGACAATATTAAGGAGAATCATGCATTAAAAAAAAAAAACATTTACACAAAATTTTCACCACAAAGCATCTTTCACAATGTGTACAATTCTTGCAGAGAAACACAAAGAAATATTGAATATAAACTTTTTCAGACTTCTGAGAGTACTAGACAACTAAACATTACCAAATTAATAAAATCGGGATACTTGCATTAGAAAATAAAAAAATAAAATTTACCAAACTGGATATCTATACATTATCGTTCGACAAATTTGCATTTTTTATTTCATACATTTGGGCAAAACTATAATTTTGCTCCGTATATTTAAATTTCTACATTTTAGTGAGATCCGTCCTGGTAGTCCGGCTAGCTTTCCGTCCACAGTTCGGGCACTTTTTGTAGTTATATTATGGGTTGAGTGTATTATGTTATAAGATCTATGGTTTTTGGATCTTTGTTTCCGAAAATTAATTTATTTTTTTGAACTAAAATAATATAACTATTTTTTTTACTATTTTTATAAATGAAAAATAAAGTTTGTATTGTTTTATTTTCTACAATGAGAGAGTGATAGCATGCATGTTTCTTCTTCACATTTAGCTAGAGCCCAGAAGAATCTCTCCATATCAGAAAGAAAAAAAAAAAAACCCTTGGAGGCTGTAGGCTATACCTTGTTCATAGGAAAATTTGTACTGAAAAATGTGTAATTCGTATATTTGGAAAAAAATACTAAAAAAAAATACAACCACAACTTAAATAGTTATAAAACGAATTCATTGCCAATAAGACAACGATTTACTCGAAATTAAATGCCTGAACATTTCCAGTAACTAGTCTTTTGGGGTCGCGCGTTGCGCGATCAGTCGATTTTAACATTTGTGTACTACGTTGGACTTAGTAATGTAAAATGAATCGTATTAAAGAACATGTTCAAAAATAGGTAATCGAAGAATATTAAATATAATAAATATTTCGTGTACGTTTAAAGCAAAGAAACATTAATATCTACGTTAAGAAGCACACAAAACGAGAATGAATGTTATCATCCTGATTCTTAGTTATGCTTTGTAACTCAGCCACTACATTTTCTTGATCATCATTGGGTAATAGTAATGCAGATTTCATCACTTCGTTTCCTGATGATAATGTCCTTAAAACTTCCATCATAGCAGCATCACGGGATTCAATCCACGATCTTTCATTAGCCCAAAACTTGTGTTCCCAATCCACCCGGGCGGCCTCTTGTTTCCTCTATTCTTCTCTAATCACCCTTTCTTGCTCCTGCTTAATGATGTTGATGATCTTTTCAAGCCAAACTTCTTGCTTCTCCATTAGCTTCCTTATCTGTGAATCGATGCAATCTCTAATCTTTGCCTTCCAACCCCTCTTACCTTTTCCCTTCCTCCTCTTTTCAACTGAACCATTAAGATCATTGTGCTCAGATGAGGTGGATTCCAATTCAGAAGAGTTGTCATTAGAGAGGCTAAGGCTATTATTATTATTATCAGAGAGCTTTTTAGTTTGAAAGGGTACTACTACTCCTCCTCCTTGAATGTGGCTGATGTTGTTAGATGCATTATTATATCGAACATGATGGTGATGGTTTGCTGAAGCTGAAGCAGAAGCATTATTATTGTTGCTGGTTTCACCATAGAGAGCCTCAAGTGGATGAAAGAATCTGTAGTGTTTACCATCTTGTCTCCCTGCTTTGCCTTCTTTAGTCTTTTTGTAGTACTTATACAAGTTCTCAAATTAACAAAATGGTAAGGTCATCCTGCCAAGGAAACACCGTTTGTTTCTTGGTTGTGTTCATCAGCGACAAATACCAATTTCTTTCTTCTAGCTATCACATATGTACTTGCGCAAGAAAATATCAAGGCACACAAAAACATAGATTCTTATTACGAAATAATTCAATGATTTAAAAGAAAAAGCAGTGAAAGTGCTCAAATCTGAATTATAAAGCTCGTTCAAACCTGAATTCAGCCAAGAAACTTCTTCAAGAAGAGCCTCTCTACCGACTCATGTTCAAGCTCAAAACAGTCTAGCCAAGCCCAGGCCAATAGCCGGTTCTTCTGTCACAGGTTGTGCCCTAACTGACAAAGAGCTAATGATTGGAGATCTTCTACCGAGTACCCTGCAATTACTGCATAAATACATTATGACAAGAGTCTTGATCTCGCGTGGAACACAATGCAAAAATTAGGCTGAACACAGACACACGAGTAAGAGGATTAAGGATATCATAACATCAGCTACATACCGCTTCAAAAAAGGAAGATTAGTAACCGAAACCAGATGTGATTCGGACTGCGACTGCAACTACAAAGGAGTTCATAGTCGAAGGATAGCAGTTCTGGTCAACCTCATTGCAACAACAAGCATCTTTGGAAAGAAAGATCAGTAAGAGAAACTGCCCCAGGATAACTTTTAGACCACAGTGATCCATCCAGGCTGAGCACATCAGTATTAAGTTTTCAGGACTTCTATCCATTCCAAGGCTTGCATAAAAAATTTCAATGCTTTTTTCTGAAATTTTCATCCTAAATGCAAAATGAAAGTTTCAACGGTTTCAGGAAACACAAATTTTAATTTGAAATAAAAATAAAAGCACCTATCAGAGTCAACTTCGAGTTCAATATAGAAAATCCCCACTAATAAAAACGTAAATGAATAAAGAATGAAAAAGAGAAAACAGAATGGAAACAGAAATATTAGGAGATTAAGAGTAAAACCATGACTCTGCCATTATTAAGAGGAAGCAAAACCATTAAAAGTGTTGGAAACCATGTTAAACATTTCAAGTTAGCAAAATTAAGCAGAAAATCCAGATTAGGAGGAATGTGAGACAGCTGAACTTAAACACGTCTTCAGCCTATGGCGCAAAGTTTCATATAAAGACAGTAAATGGGCCAAATGTCTTAAACAAAACAAAGTTTATTATTTCTTTCATTCATCAGGATTGCGTCTTATCTGCAACATGTCATTGCTAATGAGGATAACCTGTGTTATTTTAACTTAGTAAAATCCAATAAAGTTACCCATCAACCGACAACATGAGCAGCAAACATATACCAGTATGATTTCCAAGGAACAGTCATGCAATCAATAAGATTTTTTTTGAAAGAAAAAACCAAAAATTCTAGAATTTGGTCACTCCAGAGGAATCCAAACATTCATAAGCACCAGACAACCTTTAATATGTAAGATTATAATAAGTAAGACATGGTAAAGGGCAGGGATTTTAGTTTGCATCTAACTTATCACTGGATGGAGAAGATATGCTAAAATAATAGCTTGATGCTGTTACAGAATTGGAACTGTTAAAAGTAATGAATTTTCTACTGCAATTAAGTCATTTCAGAATTAGCATAAACTTCTTTTCTACATGGCTGCGGAATCGGAACTACTCCAAATGGCTAAGAGCATATCATAAAGCATCATACTTGTTCATCTCAGAGTGCACATAATATCTAAAACTACTCAAATGAAATCACACACTTAAAAACAATGAAACAATAAAAAACAACTCCTCAACATGTCAAGGCTACGGCAAAAACCAATGAAACATGTTTCTTAGACATGATGAGCAATAAAACGCATATGAAATTGAACACGCAGTGATATGAATCTTGAGGCAAAGGTAGCAGATTTACCTCGACGCGGAAGCTATGAATTTTCCCAGGACTTGAAAACTTGCAAATCCAATACTATGGACTCCAATACTCACGAAAAATAAAAGAAAAGAAGAGATGCAAAGCACAAAAATTTGCAACAAAAAGGGATGGAAAAGTTTAGAAGATGTAGAAAGTGTTTAAGGTTGGCAACCTAATCGTTCACCTCTCTAACAACCCTATTCCTTCGATTTATGGATAGAACGGCTAGCGAAAAGGCTCCAATGAACAACTAACAAAGCTCCACAAGTAGAAAAACACCTATTCTACTCGCATGCATCAA